TGGGAAGACCTTTCTATTTCTGTTACTCAGGGTGCTCAGGGAGCAGATTTATTCTCACTGCTGGAGAGCCCATGGAGCAGTAAAGGAGGCCAGGGGGAATCAGTCAATGAACACCCCAGGAAGAGAAGGAATGACCCCACACACCCCATACCAGGGCACCGGCTGCAGACCCAGCCCTGCTGGGTGGGCTTCGTTCTTTGACAAAGGCTGTATGTGAAGCAGGAGCTCAAAAGTCACATGAAGATCAGAGAGCAGAAGGGCATTGCTCCTATATTTCTGCTGCAGTGCCCAGCGAAAAAGCTGAAGATATGGGCTGTTGGGTGCTTAATGCTACCACCTCCCTATTTTTCCCTGGAGCAGGACTTAGATTGCAGGATTAATCAGAAACAGGAATCATTCTGCTATTGAAAATGTTAATATTAAACCTTCGAAGGGCAGAAAATCTGCCAGAGCTGTAAATCCTGATCCTGTGTTTTAAGGAAATATAAACTATATAACTATTATTAGTTATGCATGCTATATAACTTAGACCAAAGTTACAAAGTGCTTATGGAACTTGAGTTATCAATATAACCTGATATACCTATATAACCCAGCATTAATATAACCTAAATAATGACCTTTTATATATTTAAATACCCTGATACCTATATAAGCTGAATTATAGCTTTTTATACATATATAACCTGAATCATAACTTTTATACCTCATAACCTGATATAAATAACTTTTTATGCAATGTAATGGCTAATATATGGTTGACGAGTTCCTTAATGCTGCATAGACAAAAAAAAAAAAAAAAAGAAAAAAGAAAATAACCCTCGACAGGTGGATAGCTTTAGAAATAGATAAGTATAGTACTAATTAAAAATAAATAAATAAACAAACACCTGCTCTACATACACCTCTACAGGCTGAATTTATTTCCAGCCTATCTTTCGGCCATCATATGCAGCCACTCTTCTTCCAACAACCTTAAAGCTTGTTTTGGTAATCTATTTCTCTTTTGAAGAATGTCAATAAATCTGTTAAAACGGAGCGTGAAAGTTGGTGCCAAGTTTTAGAGAAAGAAAGGAGAAAAGAACAGCCCATGGTAAATCCCATATAATTAGTACTGGAGACTGCAGAGGCCATAGACACACAAAACCAGGTCACAACACACTCTATGCTCGCCTTAAATCTGGACAAGAATAAAATCACTTGCAGTATTTTCCGCTGCCCAGCCCAGCTGTTTTCTGCCGCTGCTTTGGGTTTTTTGCTACACTTTAACCCCACAGCTCAGGTCCCGCGGACCCCTGAGCTCCTGCCACGAGTTTGTGTTACCCTTTGTTTGCCCCTCCGGCTGTGCCCACCTCTGCCATTCCCGCAGCGCTGCGGGGCTGCTGCTACAGCCCATTCTGCCATGCGGAGGGGAACCGGGAGCGGGTGAGCCCTGTGGGTTTGCACAGCAAAGCAAAGCAAAGCCCAGCAAAGCCCAGCAAAGCCCCTTTTGTCTCTCCGCCCCTCACCGCAGCCGCCATCGCTCCGTGAGGGAGGCGGCCGAGCGCGCGCCGCAGCGCCCCCTGCAGGCGCGGGAAAATCCCCGCAGCTCCCGGCCCGCCGGCAGCCAGCAGCGCCCCTGGCGGCTGCGGCCGGAACTGCAGCGCGGGGAAACGCCGCAGCCGGGAGCGGCGGTTTGGGGTTTGTGCTGGGTTTGGGGTTTGTGTTTTGTTTGGGGTTTGTGTTTTGTTTGGGGTTTGTGCTGGGTTTGGGGTTTGTGCTGGGTTTGGGGTTTGTGCTGGGTTTGGGGTTTGTGTTTGGTTTGGGGTTTGTGTTTTGTTTGGGGTTTGTGTTCTGTTTGGGGTTTGTGTTTTGTTTGGGGTTTGTGCTGGGTTTGGGGTTTGTGCTGGGTTTGGGGTTTGTGTTCTGTTTGGGGTTTGTGTTTTGTTTGGGGTTTGTGCTGGGTTTGGGGTTTGTGCTGGGTTTGGGGCTTGTGTTTTGTTTGGGGTTTGTGCTGGGTTTGGGGTTTGTGCTGGGTTTGGGGTTTGTGCTGGGTTTGGGGTTTGTGTTTTGTTTGGGGTTTGTGTTTTGTTTGGGGTTTGTGCTGGGTTTGGGTTTGTGTTTTGTTTGGGGTTTGTGCTGGGATGGGGTTTGTGTTTTGTTTGGGGTTTGTGTTTTGTTTGGGGTTTGTGCTGGGTTTGGGGTTTGTGTTTTGTTCGGGGTTTGTGTTTTGTTTGGGGTTTGTGCTGGGTTTGGGGTTTGTGTTTTGTTTGGGGTTTGTGTTTTTTGTTTGGGGTTTGTGCTGGGTTTGGGGTTTGTGCTGGGTTTGGGGTTTGTGTTTTGTTTGGGGTTTGTGCTGGGTTTGGGGTTTGTGCTGGGTTTGGGGTTTGTGTTTTGTTTGGGGTTTGTGTTTTGTTTGGGGTTTGTGCTGGGTTTGGGGTTTGTGCTGCGTTTGGGGTTTGTGTTTTGTTTGGGGTTTGTGCTGGGTTTGGGGTTTGTGCTGGGTTTGTGTTTTGTGTTTTGTTTGGGGTTTGTGTTTGGTTTGGGGTTTGTGCTGGGTTTGGGGTTTGTGTTTTGTTTGGGGTTTGTGTTTTTTGTTTGGGGTTTGTGCTGGGTTTGGGGTTTGTGCTGGGTTTGGGGTTTGTGTTTTGTTTGGGGTTTGTGTTTTTTGTTTGGGGTTTGTGCTGGGTTTGGGGTCTGTGTTTGGTTTGGGGTTTGTGCTGGGTTTGGGGTTTGTGCTGGGTTTGGGGTTTGTGCTGGGTTTGGGGTTTGTGTTTGGTTTGGGGTTTGTGTTTGGTTTGGGGTTTGTGCTGGGATGGGGTTTGTGTTTTGTTTGGGGTTTGTGTTTTGTTTGGGGTTTGTGTTTGTTTGGGGTTTGTGCTGGGTTTGGGGCTTTTTCTGGGTTTGGGGTTTGTGTTTTGTTTGAGGTTTGTGCTGGGTTTGGGGTTTGTGTTTTGTTTGGGATTTGTGCTGGGTTTGGGCTTTGTGCTGGGTTTGGGCTTTGTGCTGGGTTTGGGCTTTGTGCTGGGTTTGGGGTTTGTGTTCCGTTTGGTGTTTGTTTTCTGTTTGATGCTGCTGCTGTTGGTGTTTGTTTGCCTTGTTTTATACATATTTGTAAAGAACTGTTATTCCTTTTCCAATTGCTTTGCCCAAAAGCCCTATAATTTCAAAGTTATAATAACTTGAGGGTTCCCACCTTCATAGGCAAACACCTGTCTTTTAAACCAAGACAACATGGTACGGTGATTTGGGAAGACAAACAGCATCACTCCACACATCCCCATCTTCCTCCTTCTTCCACCCAGCTCTACATGCTGAGCCTGATGCCATGAGGTCTGGAACATCCAGCTGGGGTCACCTGTCCTGGGTGTGTCCCCTCCCAAGTTCCCATGCACTCCCAGCCTTCTTCCCAGTGCAGCCATATAAGGGGCAGGGAAGACTTTGGCTCTGTGAAAGTTCTCTTCAGCAATAACAAAAAAGTTTCTAGATTAGCAACCCCGTATTCAGCACAAATCCAAAACACATTCATGCCAGCCAGTGCCTGGAAGAAAATTAACTCTACCCCAGCCAAAACCAATACACCCATATAACCTGAAATTTTATTCAAGTTGGTGGTAGAACAGATATACATTAATATTTTTTTATCAATTTTAATCCTCTGACTTTTATTTGGAATACAGTACCAGTTACAGATATTTTGCCACATGAAAGGGAGTTTTCAATTTTCCCTTCATAGATTTTAAAGCATCCTTAGAATCTCCCAACACTGACAATCTCTCCCATCTTACTAGACTTAGGCAGGATTTCTTCTTTTTCTCATGCTCATCCTGATTATATAAAGGTTTATTACTTCATTCAACAGCCATTTTCAACCCATCTATTTTAAGCCTAAAACAGGATTTTTCAACTCTCAAAATGCTGAAAACCATAATTTGATTAAACAGCCATATTTGATATTAATAAATCAGAAGCAAAAGGAAGTGCATGCCCAAGCTTCTCTGTATCCTGACTCCTGAGTCTGGACCACATGTGCATGTGGTCAGGAATGAGCCCAGGCACCACTGCCCCTGCCATAAGCACCCCAAGGCTCTTACACTGACTCACAATGAATGAAGGTGTTGATAAAGTGAACTGAGAAAGTAGTTTTCAGCTCTTAGGGCACTCCTCTGGGTCTGGGAAACTGCAGATGTGGAACTTGACCTACCACTTCCTGGAGATGCTCTTAGCAGCAGATGGCCCCTTCTCCCTCTTGGACCTCTGGTTTACCTACCTGAGCATGGGATCTTCTCCCACTGCTCAGAGAGAGGAGCCCTGTCCCTGTGAGACCGTGGGGTCCCTCCCACAGGAGACAGCTCTCTGTCAGCGTCTCCAGCGTGGCTCCAACCCACGAGCAGCAGTCCTCCCAAAACTGCTGTGGTGTGGGTCCCTCTTCCACGGGGTGCAGCCCTCCAAGGACAGGCTGCTCCAGCCTGGAAGCAAAAGCCCTCTCTGTCCCCTGGGTCTGCCACTGGATCACAGCCTCCTCCAGCATCCACCTGCTCCAGCATGGGCACCTTCCCCACGGGCTGGGGGTGGATCTCTGCATCCCCCGTGGATCCCCAGGGGCTGTGGGTGGATCTCTACATCCCCCGTGGATCCTCAGGGGCTGAGTGGATCTCTGCATCCCCCGTGGATCTCTGCATCCCCCGTGGATCCCCAGGGGCTGTGGGTGGATCTCTGCATCCCCCGTGGATCTCTGCATCCCCCGTGGATCCCCAGGGGCTGCAGGGTCACAGCTGTCTCACCCTGGTCTCACCATGGCTGCAGAGGAATCTCAGCTCTGGCCCCTGGAGCACCTCCTGCCCCTCCTTCCCCACTGACCTCGGTGTCTCCACATTGTTCCCCTCACATGTTCTCACCTCCTCCTCTTCTCTACCTGGAATTAACAGTGCATCCTCCTCTGTTTTGATTTTTATCTTAAATCTGTTACCACAGAGGCGTCACCAACCTCAGTCATTGGCCCAGCCTTGGCCAGCAGCATGTCCATCCTCAGAGCCAGCAGGGACTGGCCCTGCCAGACATGGTGGAAGTTTCCAGCAGCTTCCCACAGAAGCCACCTCCGTGGCCCCCCTGGGTACAAAAACCAGGCTGTGCAAAACCAACACACTGCTGAACTGCAGAAGTAGATTCACAGCACAGGTAGCCACGAGTCCCAAGGGGAAGGAGTTCAGTTTGCTTTCTGTCACAACAGAACTTCAGACTCAGAGGCTTCCTGGTGAAAACAGCCTCCAGCTGTACCTTGGTGGCTTCAGCAGCAGTTTTGGCTTACTTGCCAGAGCTCAGCATTCTGTACTTGACTGACATAAATCTTACATGTACTCTGCCCTGATGCCTGTGAAGATTCACCTCCTCAGGGAGACCAGGGTGTTACCAAACCCATGAAAGTACAGGGACAAATCTAGTGATTGCTGCTACTGCCACAACTGCATGGCCAGAGCCTCCTCCCACCAGGGAAGAGATTCTGTTTGCACCTGTCTAGAAGCAGCTCAATTGCTGGTCAGACTTTCAGAGAAGTCTCTTCAGGATTTCCCCTTCCTGTTCCACCTACCCAACGGATGTGAAAAATGATCACAGAAACCTGCCATTAAATGGAGCAAAATGACTTCTGGACATCAGGACAAGGAGATCTCTGCTCAGAGACCATTAGTTGTGGGCAAAAAAACACTCAGTGTAGGCTACAAAAGAGAGACAAGTGTGTGTCTGGGGACACTGGGGCAAGGAGGCTGGCATCAGTGTGAAGTGCACTTGTGAAGGCCAGGGAGTGTCAGAATAAAGAGAAAATACAACAGCGTGTCTCCACAGGGGTGAGAGGGAGAGGAAAGAAAACAAGCAGACAACTCCAAAGTGCTGTCTGGTGAAATGTGTTCAGTTCCAGAGGACAACGAAGCTTTGCAGAGGTAGGGACAGAATATTTTACCTGCTCAAGTGTCCTCCTGAAGTCAGGTTTGAATTTATTACTTTGTATTCTCTTCTTTCAGGGTTGCAACTACACAGTGCAGATATTCCAGGCTCTTCTCTGAGTTGTGACAACTGTTCCCGTCCTGTAATGGCCTGCTGGGCATTCAGAGAGGAAATTATGGGAGCTGGTGGCACATGAACATTAGAAGGGTGTTAGAAACAACACATCAGGGAGAGTGAGCAGGCCAGCAGTGATCAGTGCTAAGCCATTTCTCCTCCAAGAAACACCAAGGAGGGCAGTGCCAGGAAAGAAGAGGCAGCGGGGGTGAGGTGGTGAGGGTGTGACGGGACAGGAGGCACGGAGAAACGGGGACAAGAGGCACCGAAGAGGGGACGCGGGAACAGTGAAACAAAAGATTTTCCAGAGATCACTTGAACTAACAAAATGAATGTATCAAAAATAAATGTATAAAAAAAGAATGTATCAAAAATGAATATATCAAAAATGAATGTATCATGTTTGTAGAATCATGTGTTAAATTTTAAGAAACCTCTGCACAGAAAGGCATAGGAAAGAAAAACAAAGATCTCTAAAGCTTCTTGCAAAAAGACAAATACCAGAAAAGACCAAGAATGCCAAGACTTCAGACAAGGAAGCCCTATGTCTCCAACATGTCAAGGATGATGAACTTATCCAGATAGGAGAGCAAAGGACCAAAAGCGCAAGCGCAGAGGAGAAGAGTTCAACAGTTCAATGCAGAGGAAGATGATGATCTGAAGCTCAAAAACCACCAGGGATCCCCATAAAAGCCCCCACAAAGAACTACGCATGCCCAGAAGGGCGTGGACCTATTTAGCATGAGAAGCGAAGACAGGCGGGGCCAGGGGTTGAATATGCATAGAAAAGTCGTGTAATATATTGCATATAGAACACCCTTGTGAATAAAGTCGGGGGGCAAACTTCAGCTCGGGGCACAAGATTTCGGAGAGTTATCTCACTTGTGCCGGGCGCTGTCATACATACCCACTTCATAACTACCTCGAGTTGTGGAGTCTATTTATTTATTCCGCACATCGCTTCAGCAGGAGGCACCGTGGGCCGGGCGGGACTGGGTGAGACAGCGGGGCTGAGGCGGAGGAACGCGGAGGCACCGTGGGGCTGTCTGTCGGTGAGGAGGGGGCCGGGCAGGAGCTCCGGGCCCGGCGGCGGCTCCGCGGCCGGGCGGGCGGAGCGGGGCCGCGCTCGGTTTGTTGTGGTAACGGCCGCCATGGCGGCGCGGCCGCCGCTGCCCGACTCGGTGCTGCTGCGGGTCTTGGCGCTGCTGCCGCTGCGGGACCGGCTGCGAGCGGCCAGGTAGGCTCTGCCCGGGCGGGACCGGCCGCCCGGCGGTTCCCCGCCCCGCCGCTGACCGCCGATCGCCTCCCCGCAGGGTCTGCCGGCGGTGGCGGCAGCTGGCGCAGGACCGAGCGCTGTGGACACATGTGGATTTGAGCCCTCACCGGGTACGGGCCGCCCGTCCGCACCGGGCCGGGCCGCGGGGAGAGCTGCCCGGGGGCGGGAGGGATGGGGGAGCGGGATCACGCCGCTGCAGGGAGCGCTGAGGGAACGGGGGGAACCGCCCCGCTGCCTCGGGGGCGGGAGGGATGGGGGAGCGGGATCACCCCGCTGCAGGGAGCGCTGAGGGAACGGGGGGAACCGCCCCGGTGCCTCGGGAGCCGTTCCCCGCTGCAGCCGTGGCACCGCGCCCTTCCCGCAGATCAGCCGCCGCACGCTGTGGCAGCTGCTGCGCCGCCGCCTCCCCGCCGGCCTCTGCACGCTGCGGCTGCGGGGCGCGTCCCGCTCCCGCCGCAAGCAGCGGCTCCTCTCGCCGGCGCTGCTGGCCGCCCTTCGGGAGCGCTGCCCGCAGCTGCACCGCCTTTGCCTCACCGAGACCGACCTCCGCCGTGTCCCGTACCACAGCATGCCCGCCTCGGTCACCACGCTGGAGCTGAGCCTTTGCGACATCCCCGATGCCTGGTTCTGCGTTTCCCCTTCGGTGCCACCGCCACAGGTACAACACCTGGCTATCCACAGCATTCCCACCTTTTCTGACGATCATCTTCTTGACATTTCCTCACAGAGCCACTTGAAGACGCTGAGCCTTTGTGGCACCTACCGTGTCACTGATACGGGGATCCAAGCAGCAGCTCCACACCTGGAAGAGCTTGAACGCCTGACTCTGCGGCACTGCATCATCGGTGATGCTGCCATGGTGTTCATCGGGCGCCACATGAAGCAGCTGCGCTACCTGGAAATCAGCAATGCCTACTTCCTGACAAACAGGGGGCTGGGTGCTATTGTGGCACTGGAGCGCCTGGAGACCCTGTGCCTTGACCTCTACGATTTGGTCTCCCTTGGTACTGTTATCGCTTTGTTGCAAGTGCTGCCTCGCCTGAACCACCTCAAATTAGGTGGAACTTGCTTTGAAGATGAACTCCTCGGTAAAATTCAGGAGAATTTTCCACATTGCACCATATCTCACAGGCTGTGACAGCCTGAAGTGCTATTCTTCCTTAGTACACCTGAAGTGCTCCTTTTCCTGTAGCTTTGGGACAGAATTCCCATTGGCCTTAAAATATTACAGTTTTTTCACATAAATATGTTACAGAGTTTGTCATGTAAATAAGGTTTTTAACAAGCTTTTGGTAGGATTCCCCCCTCCTTGTTTTCCATGGATCAGAGGAATAGGAAAGCTGGGAAGCACACCCAGCCTTTGGGAACCCCGCTGACCAAAAACTGGGGTGATGACAAGTTTAAGCTCTGTCTTCTCCTCTTTCTCCACTGCCGAAGGTTAGGCTGCAGCTTAATGAGTGCAGAATTCAAGGAGTGAAGTGAAGCACCAATCTGTTACAGAAAAAACAGACCTGGCAGCCAAAACATCACAATTACCAATTCCTTCTCTTTTCCTTCAAATTCAGATCTTCAAGTCACTTGTCAGACTGGTCATGAGGATCCCTGAACACCTGGTCCCAAGAGCCACACATCCTGTTTGCCCCCAGGCATTGCTGGGGCTGCTGTTACCTCTGGTTTTGCTGGTAACATCCACGTTTTCTTACCACCTTTTATTGTCTGTGTTCGCATCATCTTCCTCCCCCATCCCCCAGTATCCTAACACCAGATAACCACCTAAATGTTAGTTGTTATTCTTAATTTTTAGTCGATATTTTAAAGCAAATATTGTATTTATTTTAAGAAACTTGCAAGCTTTTAATTTTCATTTGAATCCTTGTTTTTTAGGACTTGGGGTTGTTTTTTTTTATTTTTAACCTGCTTCAGCATCTCTCCTGCCACTTAGACCAGCCTTCGTTGTGACAAGAGCATCCCACAGGAAACAGAGTGGGACAACTAAAGCTTCAGCTGAGCCTTTTCTGCCGTGTTTTCATCCCAAACAGCCCCTGCCCTCCATTCAGCTGCAGCACATGCAATAATCCTTTGGGTTTCAGACAGTCCTGGATGGCAGTGACCCTCCCTGGGGTGAAATTCTCATTGCTGTCAGGCGGCCTTTATGCCCTTGCCTTTTTTTTTTTGTTCCCAAACCCACTCAGGGTAGCTTCAGGGCAAATTTCCAAAGGTAAAATGTTGCAGCTCTGCTTTGGAAAGCATCCCAAGGCTGCTGACTTAGTAACTACCACTCTGCGTTTATCCCAGATGAGATTACCACTGGTGGAATCAGCCTTGTTAAAACCTCCAGCATTCCCTGTTCCAGCACTCTCTGGGATGGGGAGGGACAGTACAACAGGAAAAGGGAAAATCAAAAACAGTAAAAATCCATCAGCCAGTCAAGGCACAGTGAGAGGCAGCAAGAACCTCAATGTTCTCCTGATCTTTGCAGCAGGATTTTTGCAATCCTGAGGCACAACAACAGAATATCCCCACAGTCACAACATGCCAGTTTTCCTTTCACTAACTGCTAAACAGGGAACAGCAATTACAAATTGATATGGTGCAAAGTGGAGTGTTTTAGGTTTGAAAACAGGAGGGGAGCTGTAAATATTGGATTACTATGGGTAAATTATGGGAACAAACAACTGAAAGGTCTTTAATCAGCAGTTCTGGTTCTGCTCACCCTCCCCACATACCTGCTTGAAGCTCTTTGGAGGGCCGTTCTTACCTTTATTTCTTCTGATTTCCAAATTCAAGGGGTTTCTACTCACTTCATCTCCATTTCTTCTTTTGCTGACTTGAGCGTTTCTTCCCCCAGCCCCACCTTCTCAGTGACAAATATATCACACATCATTACATAAAAGCCCAAATGTTTTAAAAAATACATACTAAATGTCCAACAGAGACAGCTAAACCTTCAGCAAAGCTAGGACACGAAACTGGTCCCAGCATCCTGAGAGGAGCAGCAGTCCACAGCCCCCAAAGTGAATAGAAAACTCAGAGAAACCACAACATCTGAGGTTATCAATTATTGCAGCAGGTGACCAAGCTGCTCCTTTGCCTCTTACACATATGTACCACGATTTCATACATGTGTATATTTAATATTCATACCCAGGTGTTTTAGCAGATCCAAATCCATTTTATTTTCTCAGCCAAGTGCATCTGCACATGCCTGAGAGGCTGAAGGGTGCCGATGGCACACAGAGCTGAGGAGGGAGGTGCTGACAGCAGGGTGTGTGGGTGCACTGCCCGTTCTGCCCAGCAACAGCTTTCTCAGCTGGCACTTCTGTCAGCTACACTTTTGCCCGTGGTTTTCAAGTTTGTAGCTGGACTCCATGAGGCAGAAAAAATTTATTTGCACAGAGGAGTCGGTTTTGAGTGTGGTGCAAACAGGAGTTTGTTCTTGGAAGGGGAAGGTCGGTGAAATCTTTCTGTCCTGACACAGATTATTTGAGAGCAGTGACGTTTTGAACTCGGATCTGCATTTTGGGTGGTTTACAGGTAGAAAAGATGAATTTCCTTCTTTTGCAAGTACACACCGCCATCGTGCGGTGTGCGTTGTGAGCGCTGACAGTGCCCAGGGAAAAGTCACGCCCTTTCTCTCCTGGCACTGTTAGTGTGGGAACGGTTGGTGTAGGGGTTTCGTTGGGGATCCTGAATCTTCGAGACTGAAAGAATATCATCCTGCGTGTAGCTGGGAAGGAAGACGAATCGTCTCACCGTTGGCTGGGCCGTTTATAGGCTGCAAAAGAAAAGCGAAGAGCATGGATTCTTTCTCCTCTAGAACCTTTTCCAGGGGACCAAGTGCTGAACGTTTTTACTTTTGTAACTGGACTCTGCAAGGGGAAAGGGAAGGCCAGTGCTTTTTGTTTTAGGACCTACAGGAGGAGAACCATTGCTGGACATGTTAAGTTTTGAAGCTGGGTTTTGGAGAGTGAAAGAATGTGATGGTACATGCAGCTAAGCAGGAAAATTCATGACTCCAGAGTGTGGTTGCTTTTCACAGGATGTAAGTTAAATGTTGAGACAGTAACAGCGTGCTCAACCAGTGCTGGTCTGCACCTTCCCCCTGCCTCATGTGAACCACACCAAACACATTGGTGCAATATTGTAGTTTTCTTCTCAGCTTTCTACCACAGTATTCGTTGAATCTTGGAGTCTAAAGCTAAAAGGAATTGTTTCAACATAAATCTCAAATAGGAATCTGTGCCAGCACAGATAGGGTTCACTGACCTTCTCCCTTACAGCAGATAACCAGAATTTGGAAGTCAATTGTGCAGTCACTCTCTTCTTGGAGCTTTTAAGTTTGCAGACAACCATGGTGCTCTGCAGGTTAATTCTCAGCCTTATGTAGCATCACACACTTGCAGTCTGAAATGTAAATTCACTGTGGTGCAGACTGCAGGGAAGCACACCGGCACATCGCACTTCTGGAGGTGCAAATCAGATTTCCAGCATGGGCTCCTGGATGAGAATTACAGTTAATTTCCACAGGAAGGAAAGCACATAGGCCCAGTTCTTTAGGTGCAGGTCAGGGGTGACCCAGGGGAGGAAAAGTCCAGGCACACATCTGACCCAGCAGCTTTCGGCTGGGAGAAATCCTTGGATGTACAGGGGCATTCAGAATTTCTGCCATGGACTCCCAGATGAGAATGACAGTGCATTTCCATGGCAAGGAAAGCACATAGCCCAGTGTTTCAGGTGCACTTGAAAGGTGGCCAAGGGGAGGCCAATGCCAGCCAGACTTGTCTGTGCTGGCAGCTTTAATGTGGGAGTAATCCTTGCATAAACTGAATTTTAGAGGTGCAATCAAAATTTTGCACATGGGCTCCTGGGGAAAAAAAAAAAAGGAATTTTCTTCTCCATAGGAAGGAAGACTCAAAGCTCCAGTGTTTCAGGTACAGATGAGAGACAGCCCAGGGGAAGTCAAGGCCAGTGGAATCCATATGTCCTGACAACTTCTGTCTGGGAGCAATTCTTGGTACTAAAAAGTACTACAAGTAGATTACAGCATAACACAAAACAGTGCGGGATATCAAGGTACCTATATTAAAGCTAACAAAAGAAACAGTACTGGTTAGGAGTCAGATGTAACTGACCACTGAAAAGATGATAATATACACAGATTCCTTTCACTTAAGCTTCAGGGGAGTAACTGCAAAGCAGGCAGCCCTGCTCATAGGAAAAACTACACATTTCCAAGTATAGAAAATTTCTGCTTTGTCAAACTTTGGTGTAGCTTTTATAAAGTGAGGTGTCTGTCAGTCAGAAATTCAGCTTTATAGTCCAGATGCCAGACCAGTCTTAATCCCACAGCACCAAAATAACTCAATACAAGACAGCTTGTCCTGTGTGAGTTATCTGACCAGTTAACAAGTAACAGACAGGCTCTTGTGTGGGGCAAATGTGCTGCTGCATAGGTGGAGGCCCACTTTCAGCCCTGGGTACCTGGCTGTGAAGGATGACCCTTTTCTACAGGAAGGAAATCCTGCTGCCCCAGTGTCTGTGGCGCAGCTGAGAGGCCATCCCCAGGAAGGCAGGGATAGTGAGATCTGTCAGTCTGGCAGCTTTTGTCTGGGAGTGATCCTTGGATGTTCAGATTTGTGAGGCAGAATCCAAATTTCAGCCATGGAGGCCTGGCTACAAGGGACTGCTCCGGTGTCTCTGGGCAGTGAGAGGCATTCCCACGCCCAGCCTGGAATCGCTCTGGGAGGCTGAGCCTGCCCTCATCACCCTTGGCCCTGCCTATCAGTCACTCCGAGTGGATGACCCTCATCTCAATTACGTTTAGCACGTCCTGGCAATCCATCTCCTGGGCTGATGCCCCCTGTCATCACTTTTAGTTCTGCCTGTCAATCACTGACAGGCTAATCCCAGGCTTAGAGCTCTTCACAACCGACACAGCCCTTAGGGACCCCGCAGCCCTAGGCAGCCCACGTAGCCCTCCCAGGCCCCACAGCACTCACAGCCAGCCCCGGCAGGCTCCGCAGCCCCCATGTCCCCCTGTCCCCTCACTCCCCTCACGGCCCTCAGAGCCCCGCGCACGCGCCCCGCGCCTCCCGCCCCCGGCGCATGCGCAGCGCTCCCCGGGCCGCGGCCGCGCGTTCTGCCGTGCCCCGGATGTGCCCCTGCCGCGGAACATGGCGGCGCCGGGCCGGGCGGAGGGAGCCTGGTAGCGCCCGGTGCCGTCCCCGCCATGGCAGACCTGGGCCGGCAGCTCCACGAGTACCTCGCCCAGTCCAAGGCTGCTGCTGCCACCGGCCCCAGCGCGGTCCCCGCACCGCCGGCCGCCGGCGGCTCGCAGGAGGAGGCGGGGGACGGCGGCGGGCTGCGGGCCTGGCTGGGGGCGCTGAGCCCGTTCCCGGCGGGCGCTCCCCCCGGCGCCACGGTGTGGCCTTGGGCGGGAGAGGAGGACCCGTGGCTGCGGGGGCTGTCGCGCTGGCAGCGGCTGGCGGGCAGCGGGCTGTGCGCGCTCCTGGCCGCGCTGTGCTTCGGGCTGGCCGGGCTGTGCGCGCCGCTGCTGCTGCTGCGCGCCCGCAAGTTCGCGCTGCTCTGGTCGCTGGGCTCGCTGTGCGCGCTGGGCGCCGCCGCGCTGCTGCGCGGGCCCGCCCGGCTGCTGCGGGAGCCCGGCCGCGGGGCGCTGCTGTACCTCGGCGCGCTCCTCGGGACGCTGTACGCCGCGCTGGGGCTGCGCAGCACCGCGCTGACGGCGCTGGGAGCCGCCGCGCAGCTCGGCATCGCCGCCGCCGCGCTGCTGGCCGCGCTGCCCGGCGGTGCCGCCGGCCTGCGCCGCCTGGCCGGGCTGCTCCGCGCCGCGCTGTGCGGCCGGGCCAAGGCGCTGCCGCTGTGAGCCCGGCGCGGCCCCGCGGGAGTCCCTCGCACACGTACCGGGAGCCTCGCGATGTATTCAGCCGACTCCGAGACGGGGGACGCCGCTTCTCTTCGCCTCCTCCGCGTTCCTGGCACGTTTTCCGCGGCAGCGCCCGAGGAGCAGCAGCAGGGCTGGCGGCCCCGGGGACTCGGAGCTGCGGCGCTGTGTGCGGTGTCAGCCTGCCGACCGCCCCGGGCTCGGTGCTCGCTCACCAGGGCTCGGCATCGCTCCACCTCTGGGTGGGGAGCTGCAGCATCCCGCTCGTGCCTCCAGCCTGGGACCATGCGGCTGCTGCAGCGGCTGCTGCGGAGCGCCAGATCGGAGCCGATGCGCTGCCCCTGTGGATTCGCCCGCTACTGAGGAGCAGCTGAGGTGCGCAAGGCTGACGGATGCTGAAACACGAAGATGATTTAGCAAAATGCGATCGAGGCTAGGGGAGAACGTTGAAAAATTAACTGGTTTTGTGCTGACCCCTACACTATGAACACATACTGTTTTTGCTGTCACCTCAGACCAGTGGTGAATACGAAGACTCTCGCCACTGAACTGCATTTCTCTCTAAAAAGCAGCTTTAAAATAACCATCCAGTAAGTGAAACAAACTTTCCTGGGGCTGTGGGTCACAAACACTGCCCATAATTTTAAAGGGTGGGGGTGTTCTGCATGATCATGAGAGGATGCAAAGTGCTGATGTTGGTTAAGAGCATTGGCGTTTGCAGGTACTGCTGTAAGGGACCAAACTGGGCTTTAAAATGAGAGCTTCAGCTCTTAGAACTTTACTTTTGTGTATAGATCTTGCTCTCTGAACTTGGGCAGGAGTTGCTTACTTCTCCCAGCCTGACCTTCAGAAATAGATTTGCCAGTAACTGGAGCTCTGCTTCAGTGCAGAAACTGAGCTGCCTTAGGAGGTGCTGAATTCAGGCTGTCAGCGCTGGGTGCTCCAGTTTGGGTCGGGTGCTGGACAGCTGCAAGGAAATGGGACCATGGGGCCTCACCTGCACAGAGCCCCCGTGAGTATCTCACTGAGCATTTGTGCCTCATGGAGAAAATAAAGCCTGCAATACTTACCTGCTATCACTATTTAGTTTTAATATATTTACCAAATACTTTTCTGAATTAAACTGAAATTGTTAAAGAGGGTGCTTAAGTGTACATAGATTGCTTTAATAAAACTATTTGTGCCCAGTTGTCAGTATAGACATTTCCCTATTGGTCACTTTTTTCCATTAAGAATGTAGATCAGAGTTATCAGAATAGCATTAAATTAGCTCTCTTGTTTTTACAGTTTCAAAGTTACAGTATGTAAAATTAATTTTATTCCTAAAAGCAGTGTAAAATTAAATCTGAGACAACCTCTGAAGTAACAGATAGAGCATAAGAGTCTGTGTGCAGCACTGGTAAAATAACATGACCTGAGGAACACAGAAATATATTCCCAGTAAATAACTGTGCCCATTTCCCAGTAATAGTGGATCACAGTATCACAGACTGGGAAGCTACTTCTGTCTCTGCTATGCTGTTACCTTCCAAGATTTTGTAGAAACTATATCTAATTATCAAATTTTCTTTTTACTTTTTGAGCATATGATTGTGAAATACCTCAAAACTCCATTGAAAAAGCTGCCCCTTGAAGAGTATTACTTAACATTAAGTACCATAATTGTTTAAGGAACTAACCAATCATCAGAGGAAATAAAAGTTGTCTAGATAATGCTGGGTTTTCTCTTGTTAGATACACTTTAACTTCTTTTGGTAGAGGACTGTGGTTTAATTAAAGCCTAAAGCTCATCCTGTAATTAATATAGTATTAGACCTCTTTTAGCCCCTTAAACATATATCAGGCTTGCTAAATAAAAAGAGAGCAAGCTTTCCTCTTTGCCAATGATGAAATCATTAGCATTTCTCATGAAAAGATCAGGACAAATCCCAGCTCCCAGACATACACCCAAAGTGCCCAAAGTCCTTCAGATAGAGCTAAGAAGCATTTTTTCTCAAGGGACAAACTCAGACATACCAGATACATCTCAGCTGTTTCTAGATAATTCCTTTAAGACCATTCTCCCTCTCCTGACACCCATGAGAAGGATTTTATAGGCTGACGATCAATTACAATTTTCAAATGTGATTTGATGCACCACAAATTAAAAACCAAGTAGAAAAAGGTACTTGTGACTGACTGAACCAAGAGAACAGCAGTTAAGCATCTGTGCTTTGATGTCTTTAAGTAAGATGGGACACAGGACTTGAGCCAGTCTTCGGTAAACCTGCCTATGAGAAGATGCAGCAGCTGCCATGTGTTACTGGGTTGCAGGAGCCTCTAGAAATAAGTCTCATCCTGATTATAGACTGAAATTCAAGGCAGGAGAGAGGGAAGCCTGAACCAGGAGAGAAAGGGTAGTGATTTTTTATTATACTTTCAATATAGGACCTTCCTGAGGGGGTACCTGCAGAAAAGTACTTACGTGATAACATTTTCACTGAGCCTTTAGGTGTTAAAGGAGCCTTCTGGTAACATGGTGGCTGGAGATGATTAACAGGAATGATTTGTGGGAAAAACAAACTCATGGTTGGTAAGTAGCTTTATTATGAAATGTGGGAAATGGGAAAAACCCCTCCTCCTCATTTCCCTCCTTTAGTAAAATCAGACAACAATATCCTAAAGAAAAAGACACTTAAAAAAACTTATTACGGAAGTGATGAATTGCACTTCAGCAATTAATGAATGCACCAGACTCTGCTGAACACCCATAGCTTTAAACAATGTGTCACACAGCTGCTGTAAAACATATCAATAAAGCTGCTGAACTTTCTTTCTCAGTTTCTATCAACAGATGCTGTTTTGAACAAAAATCCGTGGCTTGCCTAGGTGAAGTGTAGAATGCCAATCTTTGCTGTGATGTCTGTTTTAGGATCCAGGTTATGTAACTCACACTATGTCTTTGACAACTTGTTCTAAACATTATTTCACTCTTTTCTGTTTCAGGATGGCAGACTAGCAAGCAGTGGTGGTTGCCTGCATTATGGAATTTTAACCTCAGCACCACTGTACACAGCTGTGGCTAAAGGTGAAAATGAAACTTCTCTATACATGATAAACCAAAACCCTAGGAATCGGCTCTCAGTATTTTAAATGGCTGAGATTTCAGGAGGTAGTACTGTTGCTGCATCTGAAACACAAGTTTGCCTAAATACAACCCTCTGTAGTAATAGGTGAGTAAAGAATCACACACTATTGATTTTTTTTTTGGTTAATTTTTGCTCAAATTACATTCTGTATTCATACAAAACCAACGTAACTCTTTGACAAACTGTACATATAGAAACAAGTTTCTGTCTGGAGGTGAACTGAAATCTGTGGAGATGCTCCATGTTCCACAACACTTAAAAGAAATTCCAGCTCTTGACAAAACAAGAAAGTGAGGGGAATAGGAGTGGAAAGAACAAAACAAAGGTAGCTACAATATTGCAGCTAGAGGCGAATGACTGATTCAGGAAAAGAAAGACCCCTGTTAGGAACTAATGCACATTCAGTTACCCCAGTTAAGAGTCCAGGTTCGTGGCATTGCAGGTGAGTCCAGAGTAGCAGTCTATTTAAATATTGTCCCACAAGGACTGGGCATGACCCAGTCAAAGCCTCTTCTATCGGCCTCGTCCACCCCGAGATCCTCCTCTCCGGGACTGGCCAGAGTTCATGTTGTTTCCTCTTCCCCAATTGCTGCTGCTCCTTCCTCCTCGAGAAGGGTTACTGACTGCCCCAGGGCCTCCACCAAAGGCTTCATCCCTGTGGAATCCATCGTGGTGGTCTCCATCTAGAGAACTGGACCTCCCAGATTTCGGCGCTCTCTGTGAAGGTCCTGAATTTCCTCGTCCTGCAAAGGAAGCACAACCAGTCACTGGTGTAAGTTTCAGCTGAGTCTCCTCTCAGACGTGCCAGATACTGAGCTGGTTCTATTGTGGTGTCATCATTCACAAACCAGCTCTAGCTGAGACCTGCAATTTTATGCCTCCTCCCTCAGTACAATTTTCTTATGCAGATTTAATGTCTCCATTACAGTTCCGAAAATGGACAACAATCAAGCAATTCCTTGGGAATTAAAGGAGCTTATATTTGATACTGTCAGCAGTTACTGAAATGAATTCAGAATAGTGATAGCTTTTCCTCCAAACTGCCAGTTCTTGTGCTTCACACTAGGGTTCTCTGTTTTGATTGCAAAATACTTTTTTAAAATCCAAAACGGAGACACAGCAGTGTTAACAAATCGAGACAGTCAAGGTTGATGGTGAACATCATGAGTAACATTACTGTTTTGTTCCATTTTTTTGCTAAAAATAATGGGAAAATGCTTTATTTCACTACTAACCTGGAACAAGAAGTACTCAAGCTCTAACTTCCAGGAATAGAATTTTCTAAGTCTCACATACCTTTTTGGTTTTGATATGTTTGATATGAACAACAAAAAACCCCAACCCAATTTATTAGCCTAAAATAAGAAGCAGTATTGTGAAAAAACAAAATCAGTGGTAACCTTGTTTTTAGGACACATACTACAGCTAAATTCAGGTATTTTTGCTGCACTTTAGCAAGAGTGATTGTTCCATGTCAAACAGTTACCAAACTGTTTCACAGAAATATTAATGAAGTTTTAATCTTCAAAGAATTTTACCAATACAACTGAAGGTGACATATGAAGAAGTATTGTTCATGGTTTGTTTGTCAGGCTTTCTGCCATCATTCTAAACTTCCTTTAACATGTTATGAGTTAATTACCACACTTGTGTCTGGACAACAATTGTTTTGAGTTAGAATCTGATAGAGTTATCACAATCATTACTGAAGCTGGAAAAGGAATCCTTATAGACTTGATAGATGCTGGCTAAATTGAGAACTACAGCATGTGGATATGGAAGGAAAAATACTGGTAGAGAAGTTTATCAACAGAGTTTCATTCAAAACATCTGTGAAGGAATGATAAAACCTGGGACTAGAGTCCATGCAGAGGAGGAGTGACAAGCAGTTAAAACTGAATGAGCTTTGGGACAGTGGTGAGAGAAGTGGGCTGGGATTCAGCGTTCAGTGGCATCAGAGACAAAGCTGTGTAGTCTAACAGCAACAAATTCAGCTGCAGGCTGCCAGCTCAGCATCAGGAAGCAAATGAGGACATTTGTCACTGATCACTACCTGACAGTGAGTAGTCAATGTAAGGACATTAAAGAAAGACAGTATTTACACAAGAGAAGAGAAGTCCTGAGATCTGTAAGAAACAGGATCAAGAACTGGTGTGATGCTAACAGCACTGACTCCAAAAGAATGTGTTCTGTGGTTTACAGTAGCATGGGACCACTTAGAGGGAACTACAACACCAGGGATGATTAGGAAAGAATGGAGAAAGTGGAAGAAATACAAGAGAACTGTAGAAACCCATGGCTGCACCACATCTTAAATAGTGTGTGCAATTCCTACTTACCTCATTTAATTTAGAAAAGGATAATTTAAAACTCAGAATAGCACATAGAAAGTAACAAGGCTAGTGGAAGAGACAGAACAATTTCTAGAAAGAATAAAGAAATCAGAGCTCTGACTTGGAGAAGAGCTCGTTCAGGCTGGAAGTGGTGGAGTTCAGTGCAGAGGTGGCATTCAGTAATAACAGGGACCAACATTCAACTTAATTACAGCACAAGACATCAAATAAAATTAGTGAATGATAAGCACAGATCAAGGGGAAAACATCCCTACTTTTTTTTTAAAGCATAGTCTACTGCAATGAAGTTTTAGAGATCTGTCCATGGATGTTGTGTATACCAAAAGTTTATATGATTCTTAAAGCAATTAGAGAAGTACACAAAAGGTAACTAGAAAGCCATTAAAAATAAAAATAATGTTTTAGTAAGCCAGATCTTCAGAGGTGTAGAGAGCACTTCAGGGATATATCACTCCACGCTCAATGTTCTTATATTTGAGTTAAAGAGCTCAAATATAATGCTCTTATATTTGAGTTAAAGAATAGTTGTTTATTAATATAATAAATATATTTATTTAATATTAATATTTATTAATATTAATATTTATTAATATTAATAAACAACTATTCTGAAAATGAGGGGAAAATGCTCTTAATGAGTTTTGCAGCTGAGTAACAGAGAACCAAAAACCAACTACTTTTGAACAGGGCAATAAAGAAGGGGATTCTGCATGCTGGAGACAAGATCTGGATTTGATGTTTTGAAAATCCCTCTGTAATGTTCCTGTAAGACTGGTCTTTAACTTCCCGGCTGGTAAAATCAAATATTTACCACCTCAGCTTCATCCCCTCTGAACAGAGAAGTTCTGGACACAATACTGAAAATACATGCCAGTGTTACTTAAGGGTTCCAATCAAAGGGGTTTTTTACCTTTGCCCCTCTCCTCTGGAGGTCCACCTGGAGCATCCATGTCTCTGTGGTCAGAGGTTCCTGGTCCATCGTGCCAGGGGCGTTTCCGTGGTGGCAGTGAGGCCATGTCCATGCCCTGGAGTGAAGAGGAACGTTCTCTGTTGGCTGGAGAGTGCCCATCATGAGGAGGGTGATCTGGACGAGGACCTGTGCACGAAAACAAAGGATAAGTAATGTTTATTGGATCATTATTCCTCATTTTTGAAGGCAGCCACATAAATTTACAAACTGCCCACACTGTTTGCACACAGTTTGAAGTTAAAATTATATAAAGCTTCTCTGTCTCGTTTTTTAGTAAAAAAGCTAAAGGTCAAACAGATTCTAAAGATGATGGGAAAGAAAAGTGTGGCAGATGGGAAAGATGTAAAGTGTTCTTTCCAGTATTTTAAAGACAATCACACCTTCATTCATTTTTGCTTTGTTTTCCTTGGCATTTTACAGCTCTGTCTTGTCCCATATGGGGTTGCCTTTAGTAAGACAACTGCAAATATAAGCTGTCAGACATTGCAGCTGGAAAGATACCAACACAGAAAAAGATTACTGTTGGCATTGATAAACCTATTAAAAAAAACCCCCATGACATGTGATTTAGTCATCCAGAGGTGACAAAACTGCCTGGCACTTCTGGACTATACAAGAACACAACTGAAAATCAAGGCTTTGAGGCTACAATCACTTTTATTCAATAAGACAGCTGTATAGTTTTTTTCCCCTAAATTCTGTATAGTTAAATTCTGTATAGTTCTTTTTTCCTAAATTTTAAAGACCAAAGAACTGCATTGGACTTTTCTCATGGTAAAATACAGGTAGCGAACATGTGAGGTACAGGAAAAAGGCATGATTTTTAAATTTTTTTTTTAAAGTTATTATATTGTAGAAGTCTACAAGCCTCACCAAATTTTTTACCTGGTTCTCTGTTTCCATCCCAGGATTCTGGTTTCCTCCCTCCTTCAAAGCGTGGGAATTCATCTGGAGTAGGAAGCAAACCCTTCCGAGCTCCTGAGCAGTAAGAGAAGCAGGGGACAGGAGTGAGAAGAGACATTGCATTCATGCAAATGATGTCATCTCTCCAAGAAATGCCTTTCCTTCCTCATCCTTGCACTTCTGTGTGGAAGAGCATTCCCCTTACCTCTCAGAGCACCTCGACCTCGCCCCCGAGCACCATGGTCCCTTCCTCTGGAGTTTTCATCTGGAGAGTCAAAAGCATCATCTGGCCCAAAATCTTCAGGGCCAGGAAAGCCATCTCTGCCCCTGGGTCCCCGGCCCTCGTGTCTCGAGGGGCCTCCTCTTCGGAAGCTACAACAAAGAACATTATACAAACGTGGTTTTTAGGCATAATTGAGTCAGCTTCAGTTTAATTATCAACTCATTTCTAAACTGTTTCATCTAATGCTACAGCACATACAGTTACTAGAACAGGATTTGTAGGTGGGAAAGTGCCCATTTCTGCCTTTGAGCACTTTGATAGTAAGCTTTGTAATCTTCCTCTCACATTTCCTTCCACTGATTATATTGGCTTTTCATACAAGAAAAATATTATTAAACACACTGCATTCATTTAATGAAAAGGTGGGAAGAACAATTGATGAGTGATGATAGATACAAGGTGAGGTAAGGCAAGGTATAAGTGAGTTCCCCTTAAATCTGATGGTCATACATTCCCCTTCCCTTTT